ATCTCCTGACCTCGTGATCCGCCTGCCTCAGCCTCCCAAAGTGCTGGGATTACAGGCGTGAGCCACCGCGCCCGGCCGAGAAAACAACATTGTTTATAAATAGAGCTTATTTAATATTTAAAGGATAAGAGCTTGGCAGCAGGAAGAGACTTTCATTTTTAAATTAAATATTTATATTTCTGAGCACTTTTGCAAAAGAGAGGTCTAGGACAAGGAAGGCCAGAGGCGGGTGCGGACGACCACAGGCAAAGTCGCCAAGCCCCTTCCCAAGCCCTGCCCCTCCTTCCTTCTGGGTTGGGCCTCCCTGCACCTCCGCAGCCCATGGCAGACAGACGTGCCTACTGCTGCCCCCAGAGGCCTGGCCTGGCCACAAGCAGGCCCAGTGCACACCTGCAGCCCACACAAGACCCACCCAGCCAGGCCTCAAGGGGGCCTCCGCAGAGGCCCAAGGGTGGGCCAAAGAGCCAGGGACCACCCCTGTCAGGAAGACAAGCTCCTAATGGGAGACGGGGCTTTGGTGCTGAGAGAGGAAGACAGAGAAGCTGAAGGCCCAGAGGCAGCATGGAAATACATTAGGTCTGCAGAGATGGGGGCTGCACCCGGCTGGAAATGGGGCACAGACCATGCAGGGAAGGTGGGAGATGGGAGACAAGCTGTGCCCCTGGCTCTCAGCACAGGAGTTACAGAATCAACACAGGGGCAGGGCAGGAAGTACCAGCTGGGCTGCACACGGACAGCCCTGGACAGGGAAGGTTTCATGACCCTGGCTCTGCAGAGGGCCCCAGAGAAACAGGAGAGCAGCGCTGACCTCAGGTAGGGGCCACAAGGGAGACACCACGACGCTGGGCCCACAGGGAGAGGCGGGCTCCCCAGAGCCTCAGCCCAGTGGCTCCTGCACACGGCCCCTTCAGAAGGAAAGGGGGGGTGTGCCTGCAAGGCCTGCCCTGCCCAGGTCCCAGTGCCCCTGGAGTTCCTGCTCCTGGTCCCGGGGAGGGCCACGTCTCCAGAGCATGGAGAAGGTAGAGCTGGCTTTGGGGTGGGGGTGGCTCTGGTCCGGGAAGGCTCTGCTGCCCCAGGAAGGGTCCCCATGCCCACCCCAGTCCACTCACATCAGCCACAGGAACGAGGGCGTCAGCCAGATGCCCAATGCGGCTTCTCCCGTGGAGCCAGGACAGTAGCGTGAGGCCCAGGGCCACGTCCAGCAGCACGGAGGCCACCGTGTTGGCCTTCCTGGAAGGGAGGTCAGGCCCAGCCGGCATGAGGGTGGCCAGCACAGCCTGGGGCCGCAGGAGGAGGCCTCCCTGGCCGGAGGGGTCAGCGTGGTGCGGAGGGGGATGGGGAAGGGACCAGAGGGCACACACCCAGCCCTGCAGAGGAGACCAGGGCAGGCCCACACCTCATCAGCTGGGCAGAGTTCTCCGCCTTCCGCGTACTGAAGATGAGTGTGAGGTGCTCCAGCCGGTGCCGGAGCTGTTCACACGTGGAGAGCTTGCTCCCGAGGAAGGACAGGGGCCAGAGCCTGAACACTCTGTGTGGGAGCGGAGAGGAGTGACGTGCCCCTGTCCAGATCCTCCTCCCACCGTCCCCACTGTGCAGGGGACCACAAACACCCAGGGCACACTCCTGAGCTCAGCGGGATAGGGGCAGGTGGGAGGGGCCCTCGGTGGCCCACGTGGTGGTAGGCAGTGCTCACAGCACCCACCTCACAGTGCACACGACTAACACAGAGCTTGGCCTCCTCACAGGTGCTGACCCTGGGTCAGTGACCCTGTGGTCACCACATGCTCCCAGAGCTGTTGCCAAGGCAGCACCTGCGAGCCAACAGCAACTCCCATGGGCCCAGGGCCTCGCCCCACCGATGGGGCCCAGAAGCCTGGGCAGGGGTCTCCTGGGCTGACTGGGCTTCTCACAAGGAAGAGGACCCCAGGCTTCCAGAGTAGGGACCCCCAGATCTAAGGCAGGGGGCAACTGAGGGGGACCCCCAGCTGTTCCTCACACGGTGCCTCCGCCAGGCAGATGAGGTCTCCTGTGGAAGGGGGCCCTCTGTTCTCAGTCACAGCTCAGGGCTACCCCCGTGCCCCCCGGGGCCCCTGGGCTTAGACTGACCCCTGGCCAGCAGCACCTGTGAGTGTGGAGAGCACCAGGGCCTGTAGACCACTCCCCCAGGCACACGGGGCCAGCAAGTGGATGACACCCGCACAGCCCATGAGCACTGCAGTGCCCAGAGGCCTGCTGGGGGCACGGGCTGGGCTCAGGCCAGCGGGCCCGTGCGCCCTCTTGAGTGTCCCCCGGTGGCAGCAGTCACATCTGTGCTCACCATGTGATTTCTCTTTCAGGGACCTGAGCCACTGAGGTTCAGCCTCTACACCTACTGGGAGGGCCCCTGGCAATCCCTGAGGCTGCCCGGAGACCTGGCTCCACCCCAGGGGTGAGGGACACCCTCTGAGGCGAGGGTTGGGAGGGCAGGATGGGGCCAAAGGCCGGCTGCAGGAAGTGGGGAGGGGGCCTGGGCCCAGGAAGAGCCCATCTGGGCCTCTGTGCCCACTACAGACAAAGGGACAGGCCAGCACTCACGGGGTGCCCCTCTTTGCCACCTCCCTGTCCTGGGACACCTACCGGCAGGCACCGACGGCTGAGACCAGTGACAGCAGGCTGGCCAGCAGTAGACAGACGGGTCCCGAGGCTCGCCGGGCCAGCTCCGCGAGGATGCTGGCCTCCACGCCCTCCGACTGCCAGTGGCTCAGCCGCACGGGGCCCTCATCGAAGCGGTCGCTGCGGAAGAGGAGCTCACTGCGCGCCACTGTGTCAAAGACCGCAGCCAGGCCCCCCGTGCTGGCAGGGGTGGCTCCAGCCTGGCGGTCGGGCAGGACGGTGGGTGGGTGTAGCTGTGACAGCAGCACCTGGCGCTGGTCATAGAAGATCAGCATGACCTGGTCCTCACCAGGGGCTCTGGGGGCAGCGGGCGCTTGCCGGTGGGTGACCGCGCAGCTCCAGAACGTGCCGCCTCTCTCCCGGCGCAGCTGCAGCCAGGGCTCGTGGGGGAAGACGGCACCCAGGCCCTCCAGGAAGCGGCCCAGGCTCTCCTCGGGCTCCTGCCGGCAGTGGCACCAGGTACCCAGCACGGCCACGCCCACCTGGCTGGCCTGCCGCACCTGGGCCAGGAGCTGCTTGACCTGGATGGGGATGAAGGGGAAGTGCAGGACCGCCAGGACCACGGCGCTGCTGTGCTCCGGAACCCACCTTCCCACCAGCAGGCCGCTGTCCACCGAGACGCAGCACGTGGGGAAGAAGGCCTTCAGCACCATGCTGGGAGGCTGGAAGAGAAGATGAGAGGCTCGGCTCAGAGCTGCTGCTGCCCCCCTCACCGTGGGCTGCGGGATGTGGCACGGGCTGACAGGTGCAGCCACAGGGCCACAGGTTGGGGCACCTCAGCTTCGAGTTCGGTGGTGGAGGCCATAGGGCCCCTTGGCTGCCACCTCACATGGGCCCTGCTGCTCCAAGGGGCAGCCGGAGCGCTGTCCCCACCTCCACCCCAGGCCCTCACACCAACCCGCACGAGGCAGCCACCAGGCCTGCTCTACTATTTCCAGACGTGCCGGCCCAGGGCACAGTCTCCTCAGCACCACCTGACGGGGTGTGGGGTCGAACCGAACTCCAGACTTCTGATTTTTGTTTTTAAGAAACCTGATCAGAGAGATGTTCTTAAAGGTGTAGCACACGGAGAGCTATACAATCTCATTAGCAAGGTCACGCCAATTGAAACCGTGACAAACCATGATTCACATATTAAGCAAGAATAAAGATGAAAATTTAAAATGAAGTGCCGCTGGGCTGCCGAAACTACCCTCGTGCACACGGTGGGCCGACCCCCCAGGTCCCTGCCTCTCACAAGCCCCTCCCTGGGGGCAGGAAGGACCTGCCTCATTGCTCAGGGAGCAGGCTCAGGGCACACGGGGCTTCGGCCTCCACTCTGACCCCGCCCACGGTGGCACCCCGGCAGTGCCTGGCTCTCCTGGACATCCCCACAGCCACCCCAGGGCATATTTCTCTCCAGAATATATTTCTCCAACCTTGTGGGTGCCTAGAAACGGGGAGAGAGAGGCTCACAGGTACTGGAGAGGTGGAGGAAGCGCATCCTGCACTCTCAGGCTGAGGGACGCCAGCCTTCCAAGGTGGCCTTTGAGTAGGAAGCCACCCAAGCCCCTGCAGTTCCCAGGCCCTGGGCCTCTCCTCCCCCTTTCTCACAGGTCCCTGCCGAGCCGCGCAGCCAGCTGCGGCTTCCTGCTCCTCCACTGCTGCCCTCCCCGGCAGGGTCCCACAGGGCAGGAGGACCCCCTAGCGGTGGGAGCACTGCTGGCCGGCTGGCTGGGCCGCTCGCCTTCCTCAGACACAGAAAGCCCCATCTCGCCTGCACAAAGAGTGGAGCAGCCACCCTGAGCAGATACCCCCCAGGATGGAGCCCACACTCGAGGGAAGGACATAGCTTGGCCTGAGCCTGGGTCTGGAGGTCCCAGTGCCCACCACACCCTTAGGGACAAGGGAACAGAGCGGGACGCCTGGAGGTCCCAGAGCCCGCCACGCCCTTAGGGAGGAGGGAACACAGTGGGACGCACACCTCGGGGTGGTGTGACCTGGAAGTCCCCTCCCGAAGCTTGGAGGGGCTCTGGACGAGGCCTCACACAGAAATGCCCGGGGCTTAAGGAGTCCCTGGTGCAGCTGCTCTCCTCCCATGCAGGCAGCCTGCACCGGGGCTGGAGGGTCCCACCACTCAAGGCCGTGGGTTCTAACTGGAAAGAGCCCTTCTGGGTCGGGCGTAGAACTCCCCAAATGCCCATTTCCTCAGCGGCCAGAGAGGGCAGGCGGCGGGTGGACGCCTGGAGGCCAGCTGAGGTGGGGCACCAAGAACACCGTGACAGGGCCAGAGCAATTCTGCCTGTGAGGGGCCCAGTGCATCTGGCTGTGTGACCACCATAGGCGGACCACCCAGTACAGCCCAACTTTCACCCAGCTCAGCCCAGGGACTCATCATGCCCTGCTGGGGAAGAGCTTTCACAGGGACTAAGGAAAACCGCCCACAGAGATTGTCCGAAAAGAAACACAATTGGTCTAACAGTAAACAGACGTTCTGGGGGGAGCTGGTTCTGCAGTGGGCTCACTTTGGGTAAATTCACCGAGCTATGTGCTCAGGATCTGTGCGCTTTCTTTGTGTGTATTCCTTGTGCTTCATCTACAAAGTTTACCTAAAAAAAAATAAATAAATAAATTTTAAAAAAAAGCAGCGCCTTGTGTCTACTGAAGGAGATGGGAGGGCAGAAGCTGTTCTTATCTGTCGGGTAGTGAGACAGAACTCAACGTACCGTGGGGCAAACGCCCGTCACACTCCCACCTCAGCCTCCGGGACGGTCGGCGGCACAAAGAAGCCTGCACTAGAGGCTGCTGCGATCACACAGCCAGAGGAAGATGAAAGAGAAGCGATCGATAGCAGAGGAGGTGCGGGACGGGAGAAAGCGGCAGAAGCACAGGCAACGTGAGCATCTTTAAAGACTGAGAGGAAAAATCACACACACACGCAGGCGCGCACGCGCCTCTGCTAACAACGAGCCCGGGTGCTCTTGTGAGGCCATTCCCAGACCAGGCAGGTAAGACTTCATAAAGTCTTACATAAAGCAGTAAGACCACATAAAGCAGTAAGACTTCCCTCTTGTCCCGTGAATGAGGGCACGGTGGGACCCCTGCCAGTGAGGACGGGCCAGGGCCATCTCTGGCTGAGCCGCCCCTCCCTGCCACCGCTCCACAAGAGCTCCGGAGAATTTGCGTTTCCCAGCGCCTTGTTTGAAAACTAAACACGAACCGGGCGCGGTGGCTCACGCCTGTAATCCCAGCACTTTGGGAGGCCGAGGTGGGCGGATCACTTGAGGTCAGGAGCTCAAGACCAGCCTAGACTGGGGGTGAAACCCCGTCTCCACTACAAACACAAAAATTAGCCGGGCGAGGTGGCGGGCGCCTGTAGTCTCAGCTGCTCGGGAGGCTGAGGCAGGAGAATCGCTTGAACCCGGGAGGCGGAGGTTGCAGTGAGCCGAGATCATGCCATTGCACTGCAGCCTGGGTGACAGGGCGAGACTCCCTCTCAAAATAAATATGTAAATAATGAAAAATAAACACGAGTTCAGCCTGGGCAACATGGTGAGACCCCGTCTCAAAAAAAAATCAAAAAACAAAAAAAACCTTGCCCTTCCTCAAGCAGACTTTCCCCTCTCATTTGGGAAGAGCCTCTGATTCCGTTTTTTGCCCTTTCCTGCAACCCGGGACAACTGCGAAGGGCCCACAGCCAGGCCCGGGCCGCCGACCGCCCTTGCACAGAGTCCACAGGGGCCCAGGTGGGCGCGGGTCGGAGG